GTCTTGTGACAATCATTTTGTATTACAAAATGTATATAACATTTTATTGTCCAATTTTTGTAGCATCTTATCTATTGATTGTCCTAAGTGCCGACGACAAGAGGAAAACAAATATAATATTTAAATAATATTAACGGTTTAAACGCGAATTAAAGTTAACTAAGGGCACTGTTTGTGCTTTTTAGCAGCCGAATCAGAGGGCAGATGGCGAATATCAATGCAAAATATGGTACGCTAGCGCCATCTTTGAATAAAATTAATAAAACATCTTTACGAAACACTTTACTTTTAAATGTGGATATATTTTACGTATATAACTCGCGGCGTATTAATTTTATTATATCAAAGGTTTCTGCCAATTTAACACGGAACGGAGAAATACTTATGACAAACTTATAATAAATACTTAAACTTGTTTTTTTTTATTTAAGAAAAAAAATATAGTTAAGATAGTATAAGATGACTTCCGATGGTCAACCCATTCGGGTTTTGACCATCCGAAGTCGCCACTAAAGCGAAAATAACTAAGTCCTAATTTACCCCCCATAAATTTGCGATGTTCAAAGCAGAAAAGCGAAAAAACCATGGTCGCCCTAACAGAAAGTCAAATCAATGTCTTCTCCCCGCTGCCCACACTAATAACACCAGCTATTTATTTCAATGACTTAATATACAAACTTCTTACCGTTTCATTTTATGTCTTTATTTTCTTATGTGACTATTTGTAGCTTTACGATTCTTTTTACGATAGAGAAAACAAAGAAAATGCTTTTGAAAGAAATACGGAGAGGACAAGCATGGGGATTCCCTTGATGATAGTGAAATAACCTGATATAAGATCTGCTTCAGATGCGCTGTTGGCCTATGTTGGCTGATATATGAAGGAACTTGATTTTAGAAGGAAAGTATTATACGAGCATGATTGGTATAGAACTATCAAATTATTAACAAAATTATTTTGTATATAATAAAATGAATATCTAAAGCCAAAATAGGGCGACCGCGCATCTTGCTTAGATGTTATGTGCCTGGGCTATTTTACCTCCCATCGAGTGAACCCCAGCTTATCCTCCTCTATATCAAACAAAATCACGCTGCGACCAATAGGATCGAACAATGGTATGTGTGGAAAACACGAGGAAAATTATTCATCTTTGTGAACTTCAACTGTGCGTGTGCGCTGCGACAACGGCCCAAGAATCCAAAAAACATGTGTGAAAGAACACTGTCTATAGTTTACGCGAGTAGTACACATTTAAATAAAACACTTTAACGGTTTAAAACGCGATGTTTTAGTTAAACTTATTTGAAAATGATTTTTAACTTCGGCCCGACGTTTCGGAGGCTTTGCAGCAGCCACGGCTGCTGTGACAACTAATACATCGCGTTTTAAACCGTTAAAGTGTTTTATTTAAATGTGTGAAAGAATTATCCCCTTTTAAATGGTTCAAATAAACATCGCCGTATTTGTCCATCTTTTAGGATTGACTCGCAAGAACCGCTTTTATGGTAATCATATTTAGTCGAAATTATTGGATTATTAGAATTTATATAAATAGAATAAAATACAATAAGCTACATCACGAGTGGCCCCGATCTCTTATCAGTTCGAGCTTCTCTATCACGTCATGACCCAGATATTTGTGACGTCACCGTTTCGCATTTTACAAAAATCGCATCTGTTACCGAGTAATAAAGCACACATTATATTGATGCTATGCGAATTACGTCACAGAATATTAACCTTTTAGAAGATGCGACGTGACTTGACGATTTTATCGCATACTAGTACGTGCCGCGTTCTTACCCGAGCTTTATTTTTTGTGTAATACATGAATTTAAAAAAAGTCGACTCGGGCAGGACTTGAACCGGCATCGTCAGCGTTCCGTGCTGTTTCTCTACCAATTGAGCTACCGAGTCATTAGTTCCACCACGGAGTGCGGACATTGTAGAGCGAAGCCCTTAATATGAATTATACGCAGACAATTATTTAATAAACGGGAATTAAGTCCAGTAGTGGATTTTCGTTTTTTTTTTTATAAACCTCCCGATCCGAACAAACAGTTCGATTCCCCACCGGGTCCAACTTTTTCAAGTAAATTTATTGTTTTCTGAAGCATGTTCGACTTCGTCTGGAAATCTAGAACTAAACGGGAGGTTGAAATATTCCGAATATTAACACTATCTATATCTATACTAATATATAAAAATAAAGAGTTTGTCTGTTTGTTTGAACGCGCTAATTGTAATAATAAAAACTCTTTATTGCACAAACATAGACATAAGAACATAGATACTTAGAATTATATACAAAATAAAACATGTTCGTGCAAAAGCGGCCTTATCGCCTAATCTCAGAAAGTACGGGTTCGAATTGAAAAATTCTTTATGCGTTACTTAGAGCATTTATCGAGGAAGGTTATAACATACATAGGCTATAACACATTGCGATGTGACTAATAGGATCGAAGATACAGCGAGAAATGTGAACAAAACCGGGGAAACTTTTTATTTCTGGTAGGTGATCTCTGTAGATACGTACGCTGCGAAGACAGTTCAAGATACCTAAAAATTGTGTATAAAAGAATGATTCCTCTTTAAATGATAAAAAAAAAAGTCCACGACGCTATATGTCTATCTAATAAGATTAACTTGTAAGAACGAAGGGAAGGGACGCGACCGACGCCGTGGACATCAGCTTAAAAGAAATTAAATTTATAAAAATGAAGGGCTTTGCTAAAACTAATTTAGATGACCAAAATAACGATTTTCGCGGACAAAGTCGCTGGCACAGCTAGTTAACAATAATGATATTAAACAAGCTCTGACCGTAACAAGTATACACGTTCCAAAATTATTTGGGGCAAATGGCGTGACGTCATGCGCGAGAGAGAGAGAAGATATGACGTCACCGATGCCATTGATACCCGGTAGCTTTTAATCTTCATTTGGGACCGCACAAATGACGTATTAGGTGAAGGCAAGTAGGTGTGTCGCGAGATTTAGCAAATGAAGATGATTCGTTTGTATTGGGATTTTAATTATTAGCTTCGGCCCAGTGTGCTTGGTAGATGTTATGATAAATATATAGAATAATAAAATACATATATACTACTTTTAAATAAAAAACTTTAACGGTTTAAAACGCGATATATTAGTTAAACTTATTTGGAAATGTTTTTTAACTTCGGCCCGACGTTTCGGATGCTTTCCAGCAGCCGTGGTCACGGGGAGACGGCTGCTGCAAAGCTGACCAATAGGAGCGAAGAAACAAAAAAATGTAGTGAAACGGGAAAAAATATTTATATTTGAACCAGTGGTTCCTGAGATTAGCGCGTTCAAACGAACAAACTCTTCAGCTTTACAATATTAGACCTATAGATATGCACAGGAAATAATAGTTGACACTCCGCCTTTAATCTGTTAAATAAGAGCATCCCAAACGTGGTGCTATGTTCCATTAAATCAGAAATAATGAATATGTGTCCTAAACCGTTAAAAGTGTTTAATTCACGCGTAAACTACAGACAAAGCTTTTTGAATCTTTTAAGTTACCGTGTTGGGTTTTGCAAAATTTCAACACTGTAGCTCGGTGAGAGCACTTTTACTATCTGCAAAGCTGGAAAAACATCTGGAAAAAAAAGTCTGTTGCAATAGGCAAGTTGATTCCCTTTGGCGATGTTTTAGTTCGATAGCGCCTAACCCCGGACCAAAAATAAAACGCTTATAACAACCGGCAACATAGAGAAATATTATGTTTAGAACTAAAATGAGAAAAGTTAAAATTGCGCGCTCACATTTGTTCCGAACTGCAATATTGTGATACTTAGTCAATATAGGTCATTTTGTTTCCCCATAGGCTAACATAATATTAGTTTGTAACATAACTTCAATGTTGCACAGTAGTCCTATATAATTAGTTTGTTGAAGTTATTTCAGACTCATTTTGAGAAATTAATTCCTCCTTGAAGCACTTCTTGGTTTAAAAGAAAAACGGTTATAAAGATTCACTGCACTATCAGTTTTAACTGAAACTTGAGTTAAATAATAAAATTTAAAGTAGTATATAAGAGGTAGTTTTTTATATGATAGAGGGCATTTAAATAAAACACTTTAACCGGTTTAAAACGCGATATATTAGTTAAACTTATTTGAAAATTATTTTTAAATTCGGCCCGATGTTTCGGATGCTTTGCAGCAGCAGTGGTCACGGATAGAGGACAGACAAACTTGGGATGATGACACTTGATATATCTATATATAAATAAATAAATAAATAAATAAATAATCCGTTTATTATCACAAAGTACATAATTTACAATTAAAATAAGTAAAAAAAGAGTAACCTTACAATTAAAAGAATACAAAAAAAAAAGTACAATGTTAACTTTGTGCTAAAAGGCATCAAGACTCAGCATGTGCTCAGCAAGGCTTGCTAAGCGCTGATTTTCAGTCTGTCCCTATCAGATAACAAGTAGTACCAAAACATATAAATATTGTGGAAAAGTTGTAAAGAACTTAAAAAACTATAATTATGACTTACATTAGTGGCAGCGCGAATGCAAAACTATTGCGTAAAAATATATCGATAGACTATAGCATCTAATGAAGATGCGATGTCGATATATTTTGGCTTTGGATATTCGGAAATCCACAGACTGAACCCGAAACGCGATTAAACTTGACGGTTTTATCATCTGTGGACCTGGACGGAATTTCGAAATTCCTACCACCCATTCAGCACCCAGATTTCCAGACGAAGTCCATCATGTTTAAAAAAAATTATAAATTGATTAGAATAATGTTTGACCCGGGGACCGAATCCGCGATCCGTTGCTACCATTACACCAACAAACCCATGAACTTTACAGGAACCATGAATCTCTGTAACGTTGTCGTAATAAAAACCTTTGTTCCAGGTAATTCAATGGCGCCATCTAGTTATTTTGCGACAAAGTTTTCAAGTGTCATTGGAAAAAGGTCATTCGTAAAAACTTACCCCGTCGGGATTTTGTTTCCGCACTTCGCACAGCTCGTTGAGGACATCTTGCAATTTTCTGCTCGAATCTGAAAGAAAAATGAGTTCCTGAATCACATGATTGAGTCAACGGTAGGTATATGGAATTGCTGCACGAATGAAGTTAGTATATAGAAAAACGAAGCAAACATCAAATAGATATAGCGCGAGAGGTGTATGTATCATTTGGTTGAAAAATTCAAAAAGAACAAGGTACCTGTGATATTTTTATACGCTGAGTAAATATGGATAAGTGTTTTATTTAAAATTACAATAAACATTTAGCACACATTTAAATAAGACACTTTAACGGTTTAAAACATGTAATAAATTATTTAACTCATTTATTGTTTATTTTAACAAACGCCGACTTTTCGGAGACTGGGTTCCCCCCGTGACCGTTGCTGAAACAAGCATCTGAAAAGTCGGGGCGTAGTTAAAATTGTGAACATGTTTTACACCAAAAGTGTCTTATATAAAGCCTGCATGTAGTGAACCGATTATTTACGTTCGCCTGTTGATTGTTAATATATTTGTCTACGTTTATAGTGTTCTGAATGTCTACAAGTAGAATTCAAACCCACGATATTACGTATTGGTCTTAATCTTAATCGAGTTATTGTTCGTCTAATCACGAGGTAAAGGATTCAGTAACACGTTGGAATACTTGATAACAAGTATTTATAATGAATGTTTAATGAATACACGTTAATTGCTTACTATTATATACTTCGATATAGTTATATTAAGACCTCGACGGCCTTCTTGACTCAAAGGTCAACGTCTTGTCTGAATCCTGGAATTCTGGGTTCGAACTTGGTGAAGCAATACTTTCGATCGGGCAAGACACTGATGTCTTATCAATTATTAGCCATTACATTAAATTCAGCACAACGGGCAAAGTATTGTGTCTATATTAAAACTGTACTATACTATATACTGTATTAAAATATAAGTGGCTTATAATATTATGTCTACATATAAAATTAATATATTCGCATACTTATCGTCGGCAACACTAGAACTCAATTTGCGAGCCATAAAATTAAGCCCTTGACCAAAATAGAACCCAATTAGGTATATGGAAGGATGGTATTAGCTAATTATTTTTGTTGCCAACTGTACTATGACATTTACGACTGGAGGGTTAGCAAATTAGTGTATGGGTGAGTTTGCAGCCTTTTTCATGATATAGGACAAGCATGGGTTCACTTCAGCCCATAATATCTAAACACAATGTGCTGTCGACCTTTTTTCCTGCTATTTGGACATCAGAGACTGAAAACACAATTCAGTCGCCGGCTTTTCAGTCAGTGTACAATGTTCCCGAAACAAAGTCCTACATGTTTCAGAAAATTTTAAATTGATTTAGGAACACGTCAGACCCGTTGAATTATACCCAGACATTATTACCATTCAAAGAGAGAAAATAAAGAGATGTAAATTGATAAAGCCACAAATTAATGTTAAAAGTAGGAAAAACTGAACGCTATACCTCTTGGTTAAGTCTATAGTAATATTATAAAGCTAAACAGTTTGTTTGAACGCGATTATCTCAGGAACTACTGGTTTGAATTACATTATTTTTCTGTTCGGTGGAGCATATAACGAGGAAGGCGAAAAACAATGGGAAAAGTCGAAAGTTAAAACTCCAAGATGAATTATAAGTATTCATTTTGGAGTTCAAAGAACCCAAAATTTTTATAACTGAATTATTTAATAAAAATAGTCTAAAAATGGTCCACGACAGTATCTAGTCTATCTTTTAAAATTAAAGTAATCGAATTTCGTCGAAATTAATGCATTATTACAAATTATTATTTGTTAGCGTTATATTATCATAATAATATTAATCTTGCAAGCGACAAAACAACGTTTCGAATTCCCGGCGAACACATTTCTGTGTCCGTTTCACTGATCGGTTTTATTTACAGGCAAGTAGTTGATCAGACGTCTGTGCCCTGCCCGACCGAAACTGTATCCCCGGGATTCGAACCCAGAACCTCTCGCGCTTAACGCAATGCTAAGGCAACACGTTTAACCATTTAGCTACAGAGGCGGTCGAATTAGATAGTCATATACAATTATAAGAAGTATATCATGAAACATTGCTTTTAACATGAAAAACCGGAGTTAAAGCTTTGTAAAATGTAGTTCTACTTACAAGAGGTAAGCTCTTGCAGTTGCTGGAACTCAGCAGGCGATAGTTTATCCCATTGGAACCCGCTGCCAGTCTGGTTCGGCATCTCCAACTATAACAAGGAATTTTTTATTAATTGAGAAGTCGAAGGCAATTTCTACACTGGTTGTGTAATAGACTTATGTCAGTAGAAAAGTGGTCGAGTTTAGTAGTACTTACTGAGAGTTTGCAAATTAAAATAATACTCAAAAACTCATTAACAAAGCAGAAAAGTGAAAATCGATAAGACAGTATAATCAGTTAAATAAGTTCTTGTCACTGAGGTTTAATAGACTAATGACACAATATTATCCAGGGAATTAAGTAAACCACAAATTCTACGGACAACTTGAAACAAACAGGAACAATATTAATATTTATAATTCATGACAATTTTATAGACTTAGACAAACTTTATAAATCAGCTTTAAATAAATAATGGCAACATTAAATACTGTCTATATTTTACGCGAGTAGTACATATTTAAATAAAACACTTTAACGGTTTAAAACGCGATATACTAGTTAAACTTATTTGGAAATGATTTTTAACCTCGGCCCGACGTTTCGAATGCTTTGCAGCAGCCGCGGTCACGGAGAGACACATATACGATTAACGACATATATGATTAAACATATCGACTTAAAACTGAAATCACTAAGTGGAAAATTGCCTCCCGGCGACTCCCTACCAATTAAGCTGTATCCATCGAAGCTAAATATCACATTGTGTAACATAAACAAAGCGAAGGTATCGATCGACATCACACCAGTAATAAATGATGTGAGCTTTTATATTTTGACACTGATGTAGTGTTCTCCATTTTGTCTTCATGATGCCGTGCTAAGCTGTCGTTGGTGACTTACTCGTGAGAATAAGCCAAACGGAGAATGCTTCTACCATTACTTAGTACAAGCTAGAAGAATAAGATCAGATTATACAGAAAAAATACAACAAAAGACGCATATGAAACACTTTTATCAGTTTAAAACGTGAAATATTAATTTGTTTACAATTAGTTTACTTAGGTAATTAATTAGAATTGGTTAACTCATTTAGGTACTACACATTTAAATAAATGTCTCTAACGCTTTTAAACGCGCAATATATCAGTTTTTAAATATGGCCCAACGTTTCGGGTGTTTTACAGCAGCCGTGTTCGCCTTCGAAGAAAAATTTCAAATAAGTTTAACTAATATATTTCGCGTTTTAAACAGTTAAACTCATTTAGAATTTATTTTATCTACAGCTCGACGTTTCGGGTGCTTTCTAGTTTCCAGAAACTGTGTTTGATAAAAAACGATTAAAATGTATTTAAATGTGCACTACTTGCGTAAACTACTGAAGTAGGAGTTTTGTATTCGATGATTTATTTTAAATAAAAATTGCTTTGTAGTTGATAGAATTCTGGTTAAATAATTTATTGTGTTTCTTCGCTAAAGCCGGTTAATTTTTAATAACAGTATGGCAACACTGACGAGCAATAATTCAGTTTGCACAGTAATCCAAGCTGCCAGCTGGCTAACCTTATTACAAACTCCAGCACAAGTAATTTCAATTTATTCATACGAGTTTTGAAAAATGTGGACTAGAGAGAGTGGGCTATTTATATTTTAAGCCTTTTCTTCAGAGGCTTTTGAAACAATTTTCAAAATTTTTAAAAATGTTAGGCCAGCCAAAACGGGCGGGGAGGTGGCCCCCTTCCCAAACCTTATCATTTTTTTGCGCCCCCCCCCGGCCCCCCTTTTAAAAAAAATTTTTGGTTGCCAAAAAACCCCCTTCCTTATATCCCCCCCCCCCCCGGCCCCCCCCTCCAAACCCCCCCAAAAAAAAAAAAAAAAAAAAAGGGGGCCCCCCCCCCCCCCCCCCGGGGGGGGGGGGGGGGGGGGGGGCCCCCCCCCCCCCCGGGCGGCGCCCCCCCCCCCCCCCCCCCGGGCACCCCCGGGGTGTGGTGGGGGGGGGGGCTGTTTTCGTCCCCCCACGCCCCCGGGGGGGGGGGGGGGGGGGGGGGGGGGGGCCCCCCCCCCCCCCCCCCCTTTCGGGGTGGGGGGGGGGGGGGGGGGGGGGGGCCCCCCCCCCCCCCCGGGGGGGGGGGGGGGGGGGGGGGGGGGGCCCCCCCCCCCCCCTCTTCCCCCCCCCCCCCCCCCCCCCCCCCCTTCTCCTCCCTTTTTTTTTTTTTTTTTTTTTCCCCCCCTTTTTTTTTTTTTTTTTTTTTTTTTTTTTTTTTTTTTTTTTTTTTTTTTTTTTTTTTTTTTTTTGGTGTTGTGGTTGTTTTTTTTTTTTTTTTTTTTCCCCTTTTTTTTTTTTTTTTTTTTTTTATTATTTCTTTTTTCCCCCCTTCTTTTTCCTTTTTTTTTTTTTTTTTTTTTTTTTGGTGGAAGCTTTTTTTTTTTTAAAAACAAAAAAAAATATACATAAAATTAAAATTAAAAAGATATAACTGTAATATACTTTTTTTTTTTTTAATCGAAAATAAATTGAAAAAATGTTCGACTCGGGCAGGACTTGAACCGGCATCGTCAGCTTTCCGTGCTGTTGCTCTACCAATTGAGCTACCGAGTCCTACACCTCATCGTCGAATTTTTTCAACTTATTGATACATGCACCTATCGCGCAATGTAATTTCAACCTTAACACTTACGTATTAAGGTTCACTAACTTTTTTTTTTTTCCCACCTTTTTTCCTTCTTTTTTCCTCCTCCTTTCTTTCTTTTCCCCCCCAACCAAAACCCTTCCCCCTCCCCCCCCCCCCTTTTTTTTAAAAAACCATTCCCCCCCGCGGGCTCTTTTTTCTTTTTTTTAAAAAACACCCTGCTGGGGGGGGCGCCCGCGCCCCCCCCCTTGCACCCCCCCCCCCCCCCCCCCCCCCCCCCCCCCCCCCCCCCCCCCCCCCCCCCAAAAAAAAAAAAAAAAAAAAAAATTTTTTTTTTTTTTTTTTTTTTTTTTTTTTTTTTTCCTTTTCTTTCTCCCCCTTTTTAATTTTTTTTTTTTTTTTCCTTTTTTCCTTTTTTCTTCCTCCTCCCCCCTTTCTTCTCCCCCCCCCCTTCCCACCCCTCCCCCCCCCCCCCCCTTTTTGGTGTGTTTTCCTTGCCGCGCGGGGGGGGGTGTTTTTTTAATTTTGTAAAATTCCGCCGTGGGGGGGGGGGGGCGGGGGGGCCCCGGGGGGGCCCCCCCCCCCCCCGCCCCCCCCCCCCCCCCCCCCCCCCCCCCCCCCCTTCCCCTCTTTTTTTCCTTTTATTTCCTACAACTTAAAGAAGAAATCTTTTCGAATTCCCTTCTTAATTGCTCTTTAAGTTTAATTTTGAAAGATTTTAAACTTTTAGAGAATCTTATTGGTGGCGGCAAATTGTTCCAGCACTTGATTGCGTTGTAAGTAAAACTACCTTGGAAAGCGGAAGAACGGACTCACAGAGTCCTCTCAATTACTTTTTTTTTATTTTAAGTAAAAAGATTCCTAAGCTAAAATAAACTAAGTCTTAATTACGAAGCTTTTAGAGATCTACAGAGGTCCCTCTAAAAATAGAATCGAATCAGAAAGCTTTATCAAAAGTCATAAATTTCTGTAAAAATATAGGCACGGTTAATGTCAGCGGGTCGCCCCGAAACGAACGAGGATAGACCTAATTTAAAAGCTGAAGCGAATTATTCAGTTGTCAGTGCATGTTCATAGTTCAAATAAAACTTGATCCGCCTCTGATGTTATGACCGGGTAAATCTGTAGCGATTGAAAAAGTAATTTAGCATCTCCCAACAAGAATTCCCAGGTGTACTAACACTAAAATTCACTATATAAATCGGCTTTATTGTCAGCCATAAAACAAGTTATAGCTTATAACTTAAGCCATCGTTCGTGGAATTTCATATCTCCCCTAAGAGCCCATAAAACGAGATTGCTTGGATAAGTCCAGGAAACGCAGTAAGTGGTGGATTCCGGCCTAAGTCACTGAATATTGACTGAGCTTGGAATTAGGACCAATGGTGTAATACGCCTTGAATGGGCCTATCTTGCTTAATTACGTAAAATAAGAAAGAGATAACGAATACAATCGTCAAGAAGTTTTTGGGCTTATGTCACAAGTGGACATGGGAGCCCTTGATATATTTGAAGCCCTGAAACTTTTATTCACTATAAAAACTACTTCTGAGATTTAGTCTCTTTAATTACTGCATTCCGTGGTTATTAGGATTGATAAATGATTGGGTCATATTTTTTTTATAACGGAGGACAAGAGAACAAGAAGTTTACTAAAAGGAATGTAAAGTAGATGCCTCATATAAAATCGTTAGAAGATGCGCAAATTTATACTTTACGGCTTTCCCATCAGTGAACGGTGGTTCGTGGCCCGGACAGACTTTGTATAAACTACCCACTTAGTATCGCGAGGTTCCGTAAATGTTTCAGTTAAAAACATTCATTTTACACTTGTTGGGAATCAAACACATGATCCGTTGATTATTATAAATAATTGGACAAACTAGCCCATCATTTTTTTTATTTAATTATAAAATAGACACTTTAAAATAGACATATAGGTGTCCACCACAACTCATAAAGAATCCTTTACATAAATAAGATTCTACAAACGAGCTTGAAAAAATAAAACAAATCTCGCTGTCATAACATTTTTCATAGCAAACGAGGACGGCGTATAAGTGAAAAAATAAAGATACAGGGTGTCCCGTTTTAATTATAATGACATTACGTACTACGCAATACAGCATGTCCCATTTACACTATACACCTGGTCGAATGTAAATTTAGGCCGCTATTTCAGTCTGGTCATTGATCTCTGTGTACAGGACGTATAAAGTTATGCGAATGTACGGTCAGAACCTTAAGTATTTTTATATAAAATTCACAATTTACGATCAGCCATTTAAATTAATTATTTCGATTGAGTGATAAAAAAATAGGTCAACAATCGACTAACAATATTTTTTTAAGTAGATAAATAACTATTTAACGTTTTAAGTTTGAAAGGACAAAGTTTTGTTGAACATTTTTAACGCACTCAATATATATTAAATAATATAATAAGTAATCCTTATATATTGTGTATGCTACCCGTACTAGCAGTGTGTGTCGACAGACTTGTGAATACTGTCGCAAACTAGTGAATAGAGAGAGTGTATTTTATTTATAAAGAAAAGCGCAGTGTTCTCTTATCTGTAAAAACAAGTACATAACTTCTATGATATAATTAACGCCATTCTCTTAGGGGTGAGTACAAGACTGTATATTCATCAAGGTTGTCTTTTCTGCGATCATTTTGCGAAGCCTCGAAGTATCTCATACTAAAATTTTCTAAATAATATCCCCCCTTTTTGGGGGCTTTTTAAAAGCGCAAATTCAATAAATAGAATTAATTTTAAAACACTTTTAAACAGGTAGAATGCGAATTATTAGTACATTATTTTTACGGTTTTCGATTATAATGTATAGGGTGCAGTGGTTCCTGTCCATTCCTTATTTGTAGTGAAAACGACCGTTATAATGTTCAATAGCGATTTATCCTCATAACTTGTCTATTTACAAACAATAAACAGTAAAAATTAGACACAATATTATCAATAGATAAGCCGACTAGTAGACATTTAAATAAAACTCTTTTAACGGTTTCGAAAGTGAACACGGCTGCTGTAAAGCACCCGAAACGAGTTTAAATAAGAAGTAAATTATACATTTCGCTTTTTAAACAGTTAAAAGTGTTTTAGCAATACCTAATATGTAGCTATAGTTACGAATTAGAAGTATGATTTAACATGATACTTCATTTATCCTTGTATGTCACGTTGTGTTTAAAGAACACCCCGTATATAACATGTGTAAAACATAAACAACGGCTGTTGTTATACACCTACGCGCTGATAACATTGTGTTCCAAAGTACTGTTTCCGTTCAATACAGGAAAATAACACGCTTTATATATTATAAATAGATGACCACTGATTGTTCGAGTGGAAAATTGTGCTAACTTATTGTCTTTCATTTGATAGAATACTTATTGTATAAAGAATTCATATTATTTGTTTGAACGAGTATTATGAATGATTACCTGAAAAATGTATGAATCTGTTTTAAAACTTAAGTATATCTTTCCTATGTGCTTCTTCTTCATTCATCTTCCTAGTGTTTTTCTGTGTGCTATCATAAGTTTTAAATAATAAAGCTTTAATAAATAAAAATAAATAGATATCCCTAATATATGAAAGAGAAACAGACACATTTATATCTTTGTTTCACTCACTAAGTTTATTTACAGACAGTTGATAACACTTGTGCCCTGCCCGACCGAAACTATTGTTTGCCTGGGATCCAAACCTAGAAACAGTCAAGGCAGTCTATATTATTGCTAGGGCAATATTTAAATTAAATTATCGTACTATATAAAATCATGTTTTCCTTCCGTAGACATATTTCTATGTCCTTAATGACAATTGATTTATCCTTACTTAATTTTGTTACTATGCACTGCGTTTATCCCTCTTATAAAACATTGCAGAGCAGCTAAACTAGGCAGTTTCTTTTTTAAAAAGCAAAATTGTATAAAAAAGTGAATACTATTTCCAAAAGAGAAAATCATATTGAAATATGAAAGGCCAATGACCTCGCCTTTTGAAATTTAAATGAATAGATTATATTTGAACGCAATTCAAGCCAGATCTTATACGTGTTAATACATTTGTCTGTCGTTGACATTATATTTTTCATATAGAAATTTCGCGGTTCATTTATCATATTTTGATCAAAGGAATATTTTTAGTTTGAAATAGGTTAGAATAAAAAGTTGCTACTATTTTAGGTACGATACTAAAGGGGTAACTGTCCAATGATTGCCAGATTATGTATTTGGTTGTCCCAGTAAAAATAATATTTTGAGTTAACATCTAAACAATATTCGCCGCGACTGGTTTGAATTTGGATATTCAGTAATCCACAGACTAAAACCGAATCGCGATTCACGGCTTCTGAGAACGGTGGTACGTGGCCCAAACATCGGCTGACTCAGGATTCGAATCCTGAACTTTGTAATCTGAACTCGAGCTTGCTAACTGCTATTATTCATGTCAGCCTGGGTAAACTTTTTGTGTTTCCAACTTTTGTTGTTATTTGCAACTTAAAGCAGTAAATAATATTGAACAAGTAAAGTTACACTATACTAATTTAATAAAATCCGTTTCTTACCGTGGGATATGGGCGTACACAGTTCTGTAATTTTTGTGAATAGTATACATTTAAATTGAGCGGTTTAAAACGCGAAATATTAAAGTTGTCATATTTACAATTTATGATAATTATGGCGCGACGTATCGGATGCTTGGCAACAGTCGGTGTCACGGAGGTCTGAAGATGGTGGGTATTGGGGCGCGTGCTCCGCTTCTCTAACTGCTGTTCAGCTAGGAATATTGTCTCCCAGTTGCAGATAGTAGATGCGGCGTATACTGTCGTTTGTAAGACGACCGCCACCGATTATTGTCGGACAGAGACGGAGAGAGCTTCTTCGATAGGCTGGTAACTGTCCGACCCGGGCACCCTACTGTGCGTTCGTATGGTATCTTCTTTCCTTGTCAGCTGCACGGTGTGTAAGTGAAACAACGATATATTGCTATCTTGGTCGGAGACTGCTAGTGACGTATTAGAAACAGTTGTAGATTCACACACACATCCCGAGGCCGATTGTAGAGCTTTGTTACCTCGGAATATACCGCGACGAGACGCTCCCAAAGCTATGCCGTTTGGGCCTCTGCGCGTGGCTATTTTTACTATGTCTCCGACACTTCATCTTTATTTACTCTAAGACATGATTAATACTCAATTTGTTACATATGCCTACTCATACTTTACAAAATGCTTAACAAATTGATATACAACACAATACGGTCTTTGATCTACTTATCTTCCTAATTGCCCTTTCAAATCTAAAGTACACCCGAATACGGGGTTGGGCACCGCTTTATCCTTAATATCTTTATTAAGCCTTATTCTACATTATTTCTATTGACTTAATTGCATACAATAACACTTATTCTATCGCCGACAATCATTTATACACTTATATACTATGGCGGTCGCCCACATTCTCCCCCTCGTGCGCGTAGCACCATCTCTTTGCCTGGGCGACTCTTCTGGCACCAACACCACGATGAACGAAGCTGGTCGTTGTAGCACGCTGCTTCATGTTCAGTACTTGAACCTTTATGGTGAAATCGAAATTTCCTTCTAGTGTCCTTGCGTCGCTTGGCCGTAGGTTCCGTGTTGTGGCGGCGCGTCTCAGAGGGAGGTACCTGCATCGCCATCCTTTTTGATTGTTCTCGGCGAACATCTGTGTTACTATTGTGTACAGATCTAACAACTTTGTCTTTTCCGTTGCACGTGTTATCTGTAACCTTTTTCTTTTGTCTTGTGCCTCGAAGCTTATTTGCAGTGTTCAAAGCGCTTATCGCCGTCTTTGTCGCTGCGAGATTCGTTTTGTATGTCTTGCCGCTTTCACTCGATCGCCAGATACAGTTTGTAGAGCTGTAAGAAGACTCGTTGATGTCGAATGATACATGCGGCTCCCCCTCGGTGCAAATTGCTGTCATGCGCCGAGGTAGATCGCTCAAAGTCATCTCTGTTGCGCTTTCTTCATTGGCAGACTTCAATTGTTCTTTCACTGCACAATTTTCACTTATGTCGATACACGTGTTTATTTGTTCGATTGACATTTCAGCACTTGGATTTGCCCCGTGCAAAACCCAACCAAGTTTTGTCCTTGACGCCACTGGTTGTCCGGGTCGTCCTCTTCTCACTTGCTGAGTTACGATAAACTGCCAATTATCTTGCCCAATTAACATTTTAGGCGCTTCAGCTTCGTAATAAAGTGCATCAGCCATTCCCCTTAGGTGACGATAACTTTCAATTTTTCCCTTGTCTAGATACTGCGGTGCTAACTTTAAATCGTTCATGGTACTAACGCCACGTAAAATCTTCTTCGAAGTTTGGCGTGTTCCTTTTATTTCTAAGTCCATTACGATTGATCTTCTATTAATCATGTGGTTGCCACTCGCAGTTTCCACACAGACTTGCTTTTCGGCACCTTTCAGACCCAGCTCTTTTGCCACTGATGAATCTAATAGTGTCAATGTAGAGCCTTCATCCATAAGAGCTAGAATGCTCATAGAGCCCTTGGGTCCATAAACTTCAACACGTGTTATTTTCAAAAGTGCTCGTGCACGTGTTGCCGTATTCGTTATATTATTTGCTGTCCCTTTCACTGAACTGGAATGCGCTATCTCTGTCTTCGACACGTGTAGCATTGGGTGATGCAACCTTTTACACACTTTGCACGGCGGTTTCTTGCACACCTCCTTATTATGCTTTCCTTTTAAGCATTTAAAGCAAATTCGATTTTGCTTAACTATGTCCCATCGCTCTTGCACCGAGGCCTCTTCAAAACGGCAGCACTCTGATAGTGCGTGATCCCCGGAACAGAGTGGGCATGGTATTATTCTGCCTTCATTGCCAACAACGTTATATGCGCTGTGTGTTTGCTGCCTTCTGATTGGCTTGCGCTCCTCTAACGTCGCAAACGCTGCGCACTTATCCGCTTCTTTGTTAAGAAATTCACTAACATGCGTCAAACTTGATAATGAATCCTCTTCTGATTCGGCAATGAAGTCGTACCACCGGAATCTTAATATCGACGGCATCTTGTCGATTATTTCTTTCACAAGCTCTGGCGAATGGAGATACCGCGGCTTCTTCAATGCCTTAATGGCCGCTACACTATTGCAAATCTGACTTGCGAATGTGCATATATCACGCGGGCTTTCTCCAATGCGCGAAAGTTTTTTCATTTTATCCAGCTCTGCCAACACTAACGCATCCGGCCGTCCGTAGCGACGACTAAGCGCTTCCATTATCTCTGTGGGCGTGCTTTCTGAATAAAGTAGACATTTCAAGGTCTCTCTCGCGCTTCCCTGTATAGCTTTTCTTAAACGGGCTATGTTTTCCATCTCCGAAAACATCGGTTGTGTCTCTTCATACACTACTCGAAAGGCAGTCCATTCTCTGCTATCTCCGTCGAAAGTCGGCAACTCGTACACATATTTAGTCTGCGGCGTAGGGTTTGCATGCGTTATTGCCTGCTTCAGCGCGTCAGCTAAAATGCCTATGTCCGATTTTCGATCTTCGCAATTGATCGCCGTCCTTTGAGTATAACTGGTATGGTCATTGTTTCTTTCTTCGACGTTCTCCTCAATTATAGAATCGTCGTCTTCTTCACACAGTCTCTCGAGGCGAATACGAGCGAGTCGCGCTGCTGCCTCGGCTTGTTCAAGCTCGAGGCGAGCCAATTCCTCTTGCGCTTCTAGTTCCCGCCGACGCGTTAAACTTGATCGCTGTGACCTCGCTAGCCGGGTTGAACCCTCTGGAACCAGCGTCTTCATTGCTGCCTGCTCCCTTTGGCTAGATGTACTGCGGGTGTGTGACGTCACTTCCTCCATTGTAGTAGCTGTGGTCGTCGCGGTGAGCCGTTCGGCGCTCATAGATTGTGACGACTCGTCGCTTTCCTTTCTTGATAGCAAGTTTTCTTGTGAGCGAGTGACAGGCATCTTGAGGTATTCAATTCTTCCTGCCACGAAGGTTTGAAGATGTAGGATCCGGTACTCGAAGGACCAACTATTGGGGCGCGTGCTCCGCTTCTCTAACTGCTGTTCAGCTAGGAATATTGTCTCCCAGTTGCAGATAGTAGATGCGGCGTATACTGTCGTTTGTAAGACGACCGCCACCGATTATTGTCGGACAGAGACGGAGAGAGCTTCTTCGATAGGCTGGTAACTGTCCGACCCGGGCACCCTACTGTGCGTTCGTATGGTATCTTCTTTCCTTGTCAGCTGCACGGTGTGTAAGTGAAACAACGATATATTGCTATCTTGGTCGGAGACTGCTAGTGACGTATTAGAAACAGTTGTAGATTCACACACACATCCCGAGGCCGATTGTAGAGCTTTGTTACCTCGGAATATACCGCGACGAGACGCTCCCAAAGCTATGCCGTTTGGGCCTCTGCGCGTGGCTATTTTTACTATGTCTCCGACACTTCATCTTTATTTACTCTAAGACATGATTAATACTCAATTTGTTACATATGCCTACTCATACTTTACAAAATGCTTAACAAATTGATATACAACACAATACGGTCTTTGATCTACTTATCTTCCTAATTGCCCTTTCAAATCTAAAGTACACCCGAATACGGGGTTGGGCACCGCTTTATCCTTAATATCTTTATTAAGCCTTATTCTACATTATTTCTATTGACTTAATTGCATACAATAACACTTATTCTATCGCCGACAATCATTTATACACTTATATACTATGGCGGTCGCCCACAGTGGGTGTCATTAATTTCAAAGTCAAAGTCGCCTCCTATTAACGGGTTGAAATGCGAAATATATGTCGGAAATTATAAAAGAATTCGCTGCCTCGTGGTCGCCATTGCGCTCTGGCATATTATCAGCGCGCACACCCAGCGCAGACGACGGTTTCACACAAGTGCCTCCGAGAGTTCACGAGCATGAATCTTTATAGTCGCACTACTGACTTAGAGATCAGAGTGACTTGACTCGACACATACCACAATATAAATATGCCTAACTTCAGTATGGCACTTCACTTAGTACTAAAATAATAATTCTCCGACATATTATAATATTAAAAATATTTTATTCAAACAGACTTTGTACCCTGGTAGACTGATACGATTTGCAGTTTTCCTGATATTTTATACTGATACCAAGCAGCAATAGCTTTGTTTAAATACCCTATTGATTTTTAGTAGTTATATATTTTTAAGTAAAAATAATTAGGATTTCGCGAATATGTCATTTTTGATATAGAGCAAAAAAAGACATAAATTCGCGATTGTTGTATGGCAGATCCACTGAAGTATTGTTTTTTAAATTTTTCACAGCGGTAACATATTATTGTGTCTGTAGATATTACAGATAGCGAAGCCTTAGTTATAAGGGGTTCTACCTACCTCTAGGAAACAGTAGCTGGACGTCGGTTCAAATCTCGCTTGTGTCGTAAATCTAAATAGATTTTAAATTTATTTATAATCATGTGTTATACATATATAATATGTATACTTAAGTTAAAAAAGGGTTCTTTACTCTCTGGATACGCAATCGTAAAAACATAAATTGCATAATAAAATACAATTACAATGCCTTGTAAGTTCTTAGTAGCGCTTGCTACGAAAGCTCGCTACGTAGACACCGTAGCCTTAAGCTACGCGAACTTAGCTACGAAGCGTTTGTTATTAAAATTTCCATATCGTTATAGACACTGGTCCGTTGATCAAAAGTAACGCTTTGCGTTATTTACGAACTAAATATATATCAGCAGTTGGCTATCAAAGGTATGTTAATAGGCGTTATTCGAATGGTAATAAATTCAATACTATTACATCCCCTTTTCGAAACAGCCTCCCTTTGAACGCGCACTTGTCTGTATATAGGTTGAATTAGTAAGCTAAATACACCGAGCAAATAGCTCCATACTCTATACAAGTGACAAGTGGGTGGAGACGCGATAAAAAACAATTAAAATGTGTGTTTATATGTAAATCGGTATTTCTGGCTTTCACTATTATTTAAATGTCATCTATGGGGCGTAATGGAAAAACGGCATTGCAACAATTCTGTGGTTCAGAAGCAGCTGAGTGAGTCTTTTAACAGTATAGTAAAACTATGTACGGTTATTATCTTCTTAGAGTTAATTATAAGTCATATATTATTTTATTTATATTATTGTGTGTGGGTGTTTTTTTGATTTGGTGTGCCATTTGCATAAGTATATTTTTTTATACTTTTCACAACACGCAATTCTAAAATATAAGAAAAAAGAAATTTAATCGATTATAAATCAAAGACATTATTTATAAGGAATGCATAAACAAATACTTGTTTAGACTCAATGAACAAAAATAAAAAAAAACTGTATTACTAATTATATTAATTACATATCTACCACAGATTAAGAGCCAAACCCGGTCGGTATCACATCTTATTTAGATATCATTGTTGTTTTCTCTATCCTAAAATAATACCTGCAGTTATAACGAAGTATTAACTATAATTTTTCGTAGTTACAACGCTTCAGAAGTTCGTTTGTTTACATGCCAATACCGCGTTCGAGAAGTTTTGACATCTCAAACGCATAACGCGAAAGAACAAAAGTCGAGCGCTCAAGAGTCGACTTCAGATGAAAATAGCAAGTTTGTATATTATCAAAAATTTACGAGCGCAATGAAACGGCGGAGTAAACAAGAGAAGCGATCATTCAACATCAAAAGTTCAATTGCTACGCGTGGGCGAGGGCCGTAATCACTGACTTGGGACGTAATTCAGTGTTACACAATTTCATATACTCCCCTGCGGACTATTGTGTGATAGTGGAACCTTAGAGACGCTAAACTTTCGTTATTGATTCGAAATTTTGTAGGCGATGTGACACGTAATTATTAAAACAATAGAAATGAGCTTATACACGATGTAATTATTATTCAGATAATATAGGTATGATAAATAATTAAAATAAAATATACATTATTCTCTTTAAAATTATCTAAATTACGTAAATTCGTTTGTCTATCCGTTCGTCGCGATTTTACAGTGTTCAAAAGAGCAACATAGCCGAGAAGAACACCCAAGAAACTCAGTTTGGCTTTTTTCAACATGTCTTACAAACTAATGCATTTTTGCGAATTTATTAACTTATGGAGCAATTCATATTACTTCCAGGCAGTCTTGTCATTAAAGAAATCGTTCAGACCGATACGCCTTTTGAGACAGTCCAAAATTTATAACTTTTTTAAATTTATTTATCGATAAATTTGAAAACTCTGTGTGCAAACCTATTTTAAAATACTTCAAAAAGTTTAATATAATTTAAAAAATTAAATTCGTCTAGAGATATTTGAATTCAAAGTAGAGTTAGACCACTCGTACGAGATTATTCGTATTAGTCTTGGGCATCGATTTGTGGTCGATTCTATTGTTCGGTCTATTTAATGGGGAATTTATACTTTATTAACGCCAATGTCGCGGGATATTAAAATTTTAATAAAATACTTTTAACGGTTTAAAACGCGAACATAATAGTTTCCTTATTTACAATTTATTTTAACTATGCGCGTTTCGGATACTTTGCGGCAGCCGTGGTCACTAGGGGAATTTTTAATTAACTGTCTTTCTCATTATATATTGTGTATGAAATGGCGTAGACTGATCATCCGGTCTTCTATAGGGTCCCCAATAGAAAAAAAATATTTTGATATAAGGGTAATAATATTTTTGGTGATGATAGAGGAAAAACAACTACCCCAGCTCTATATACACAAGATGATTTCCACCTATTTTGAAACGTGATTAAACTTCACGGCTTTGTCATTGTAACCTGTAACATTTCCGATACTCCTTCTACCCACTTGATAATAAGTTCAGACGAACTCAGAAACAGAACACCTTTCAGAAATAATACAAATTTGATTTGAAACATATTGGACCCGGTTGCGATTAAACGCACGTCAAAAATTATTACTTTTTTATTTATAGTACTTCGGTGTCTTTATTTTTAAAACAATTCAAGTAAATTATTATAATACTGGGGAAAATGCTAGGGCTCATCTGAATACATATTCGCAAGTCATGTTCAAATACAATTGACGTCATTCGCAGATGAAACCGCTCGGCTATTCCCCGCCCTTTGTTCCAAAAGAAAAAATATCACGTACATTATTGCATTCCACATATAAACGTGAATAGAAAAATTCTTGCGCCACAGTCTATGGACGTTATTACAGTGGGCCGTAAAACATCCAGCTTTTTATTGTTGTAGCGTAACATGAAACGGTTTGTTAGTCGCGTTACTGTGTATCTATGTTTCGTAACTTTTCAAAATTGTTTCTCTTTCATTACAGTAGTGATAGTTTATTTATTCGATTTGATATTTACTCTTAATAACTAAATGAATAGATGACTAGATTTACATAAAGACATGACATTATCCTGTAATCTACATATTATATAAATAATAATTACTTAAAGTGTAATGAATGATTTATTTAATGTTGTATTTCTCTATTAATCTTTCATGCAGTTGTAGTAGCTCAAAGTATTTAAAAAATCATCGAAATTCCAAAGCTACTGAAATGTCGGGTTGACGCGGGTATATTTGGCGTTGGGAACCGTTGTAAATGTTTTATTTAAATGTGTACGTTCATAATACTGTACAACTAAAAATATACAGCTTAGAGCTTCAGCTGAATCTTCAATTTCAGTACTAATGAAGTAAAGTTATTTAGAAAGGAAGAGACGCAGACTGCAACACTGTGGAAGTAGATTCGAGCCCGGCTCGTGTCAAATCTAAATTAAATATTTTATTAAAACTGTCTATAGTTTACGCGAGTAGTACACAATTAAATAAAACACTTTAACGGTTTAAAACGTGATATATTAGTTAAACTTATTTTATATTATATATTAGTTAAACTTATTTGCAGCAGCCGTGGTCACGGGGAGACATTTTATTAAGTTTAATA